TTTTGTGTGTGTTTTGTTTTGCTTGGTTTTGTTTCACCGCTTACGGCTTCTTTGGGCACCTCACTGAAGATTGCACGCGGTGTTGGAAGGGGGAAGAAAGTGAGCCCCGCAGAAATACACAGACACAGAGAGATAGACATATATATATATATGCACACAGTTTTTGTTTTTATTTTCTTTTTTAATTCAACATTCGTTTGTGCGTGTGTGTGTGGCTCCCGTCCCTCGCTGGGATCCCAGCGGCAGGGCGGGCACACACGGCAGAGAGACCCTCACAAAACCAATTGTCTCTTGTTTGTGAGGACACGCACCAGTACATGCCTCCCCGGCAGCGCGGCATCCTTCTTGAGAGACGTCGGCTCGTGGCCCTCACGCAGACGCTCCGCGCACACCGCCTCAAAGCGCACAAGTTTCCCATCCAATAAGTTTGCACGCAGGAGCGACTCAAACACATCGCCGGCGCTGCTGCCAGACTTGAACACAAGGCATTCCCTCAGTGATGGCAGCGGCAACTTCATTGAGACGGTGGGAAACACCAAAACGATGGGGCAGAGGAACAACGCCGCAGCCAACACCTCCTGCACGCCAGTTGTGGTGGGGATGCGTCCAGAACCAAAGAACTGACGCACTTCCGCAAGTGCCATTGACACCATCGGGCTCATTAGCGAGCCTCTGCCGTCGCCGCTGCTTCCCTTCTCTTTAAAGGAGGAATCCCCAGAGACGTATTCCACAAGGCCGCTCTGCCGCAGCCGCAGCAGATGACACTCCACCTTTGCAGACATCGGCACAAATTTCTCGTGAGGATAACGTCGCTGAAGGTCAGCATGCAACTCCCCGGCCACTGATTTTATATCGGACTTGTTGAGCGCAACAACAATGGGAAACCGCAGACGTACGTACAGCGCCACAAGACGATGAAGTTCAGGTTGCCTCCATACAGGCAATTGGCTCATCAACTCTGCCTCGCTCGTGATGCCCATGTACCGCAGCACCCCATCCACGAAAGAAGGAGGGCTACGATAACCCGTAAACATTGTGCGCAATTTTTCCGGTTTCCTCCGGATCCCACCCCACTTCGCGCGGAGGTTGTCATAGATCCAACTGTGAACCTCCGCACGAACCCACGTGATGTCATCACATGTAGAGCCTGTTCCTGGAGGGCACGCGGACCCATCCGCGTTAGTCGCACCCGCCCCATCTACAACGTGCACAAGAACACTCGCATCACACAAGTCGTTGAGGAATTGGTTACCCTTTCCCTTTCCCTTATAAGCCCCCTGCACCAGACCGGCGACGTCCTTGATGATAACGGGGTGTCGACGACACAAAGCCCCACCGACCGGCACATGGCCATACATGGCGTCACAAGGCGATGATGAAGTTGACAAAATGCCGCATGGGCAGAAAACGGCGCCAAAACCAGCACCCACGTTGGGCTCAATTGTTGTAA